AAGTCGTTCTTAAAGCGATGAGTCAAAACAAGCACGCTACACAAAAAATATAACTCGTTCTTAAAGCAATGAGCCGAAACGAGCACGCTACGCGAATGGCATAACGCGTTCTTAAAGCCACGAGTCGAAACAAGCACGGTACCCACGTAACATAACTCGTTCTTTAAACCCTAAGTCCCCCGGGCCCTTTATTCGAGACGGACTGGCACGCTTAAAGCCACGAGTCAAAACAAGCACGGTCGACAGTATTGGACAACCCTCAGTCCTGCCAAGCCGGTTACAAATAAATAAGAATAATACGCAAATCAACATTTTCTTACAGACATCAAGATTCTGGGAAAGGCTACATGTGTTTAAAAATCGCAAGAGTTCATAAAAGCAGTAGCACTAACAATGTGTCAGTTGCATTTTTTTTTTTTTTTAATAATGAAAGCTTTTAATTACTACAAGCAAGTTTAATTCGACTCAGTAAATTAAGACCAGTAGATAAAAGTTGGCGAGCTGATAAAAGTAAGAGAACTTTGTTCTTCTGAGACAGACCCGGATTCCTGGAAAGCCGATTAGCGCTAATCGAGGATTAAATCTCGCTAATCGTGGAATACATTTTGTCCCACGATTTGATTCTGTTCCTGAAAGGATCGTTAACCTTAATCTAGGAATAAATTAAGTGTTTATTTTAACCCACCTAGCGAGGTCGATTAAGTCACAAATCGGGGGAAAACGTTTGTAAAAACAAACAAAATGGCGGACTTACCGTTGCCACAAACACCTGAAAAAAAGTTCCGACAGCAAGAAATTGATATGGACCAATTCACTGATGAAGAGCTTTGCAGTAGATGCAGGTTTGACCGAGAGTCAATTCAATATTTGGTAGAAATCCTCAAGAAAGAGCTCGAAAGACAGACGAGGAGAAAACAGAAGCAGTTGCCAACGTGGTTACTACTTCATGTAATAAATTTGATCATTATAAAAGATGGAATGCGGACTGTGGACTGCGGATTGAATGTATGGACTATGTAATAAAAACTGGGCCAATTATTTCTAGGTAGATGAAGAATTTCGGTTTCCTCTTCTTCTCCTTTGGTTCAACCTAGACCACTTCGTTTTCCGCCATTTTCCTTTACTTCACCCGTGTCTAAACATTTTTCGCGCCATATCTTTTTAAAAGGAATCATCCCAAAAACTAGTTAAACCGGTTTATTTTAACACTAATCTCGGATTAGTTAATCGTGCGTTTATTTCGCTTTCAGGAACTCCTTTTTATCCACGATTAGTTATCCGAGGAATAAGAAAATTAATCGTGGATTTGACGCTAATCGGAAGATGGTTTAATCGTCTTTCCTGGAACTGGGGCCAAGGTTATATCAAGCTGTAATAAAAGCTATTTTCGTATACTCACCTAACGTAGACACCGATAGATTTTGTGGCGAGACTCTAGGCAGCACTGCTTGATAAATATGGTTTGTTATCCATGCTTTCAGATCTCTAACGTAAGCAAAAACCACATACTTTGAAGCATACGCACAACTGTAGCCCCAACTTGTTACACCTTCAAGAAACCATGTACCGTTAAACTCACACACCAATGGACCACCACTGTCTCCTACACAAGTGTCAATGCCTCCTGCATCCGGGCCAGCACAGAACATGGAATCATCAATTTTTCCAGTGTAGGAATAAAGACAACGTCCTCTAGAGACCAATGGAATCTGAGCTTCCATGAGTGCAATTTTCTGGGACCCACCTGAAGACAATGTACCCCAGCCCGTTATCCAGCACTTTCTGTTCAAATTGTCAAAAGGAAGAGCGTGGAGCATATCAGGTAGGCAGACAAGCCCGGTGCCTACTCCAAGACTTGCAGGTTTTAAGAGCTTAATCAGGGCGATGTCATTGCTATACCTCAACGGGTTATTATAGTTTTCATGCTTGATGATTTGTGCGACCTCGATTTCCTGTTCTGTTCCAACACTACTGCTTGTTGTGTAGTGGGCTCCCAACCTACGAAAAAAATAAATGAATGAATGAATAAATAAATGCAAAATTATTTAATTAATTTAACTAGTCCGACAGAAGGCAGAAGGGCAAACAATACAACCTCATTCCTAGCCTCCCCTCCTATTCGCCCCACGGGCCTCTTTCTGCCGCTCTGGGAGACAATGAGGACAAGACCCTGGTAATGAGGTTGTATAAAAATATTTAGCCTGAAATTGATAAGATTACCCAAAGGTAAATAATAGCAATTATTATTCATTCCAAATATTCCTCCATTTCTGATTGGCCAAAAGCACACACATAATTCATCGTAAAGAGGTCCTGTTGACCAAAATTGGAAAGAGTTTTGTCATATTGGACCGATGACGTCAAAAGTGCAGCTTAAGTTGCAGATTATTGAACCGGTAACCGAGAAAACCTGGGGATGAGGTTGCGTTGTTTTGATATTGAGAACAAAATGGCTGAAAAGTCGGCGAAACATTTTACTCGTTTCACGGCGAAATATTGTCTAAAGAACAGCAAGAAGACACCTCGACGGACGACATCTCATATTCAGAGTAGATTAGACCTTTATCTCCTAAACTTGTTGATAAAGATACGCTATCGATATCAAATTAACATCGACCGAAGTACGCACGATTTAGCTTGTTTTTAAACTTGGACTTATTTAGAATGAGTAATAAAATAATTATTGAATTCGGCTTTGGTAGGATATGAAGAATTCTGCAGATCAAGGAGGTTGTTATCCACCTCGGCCGATAACACCCTCCTCGATTTGCAGAATTCTTCATATCCTACCAAAGCCGAATTCAATAATTGCTAATTAAACTTCAACGATGACGATTATGTGATAATGATGACGATTATACCAAAAACGCCAAGCCATTTATGAACGAACTTAATGATTATCCTTTCAAGGACCAATGTGATCGCAGTTGTGTATTAATTTAAGTAGCCAGAGTCACTAAATAATGCACGCAGAGTAACACAAATCACAGCCAAAAATGCGAGATGCTGCTGCATGCATGCTGTCGGGATAGTGGTCACACTCCAGTGACGCCCTAGTCTTCCCCTCTCTCCGCTTGGTCACATTTTTGACAGGTTGATTCATGAATGAAAACTTATGCAACGTCTGGAAATTTGTTTGCCGTCAAACTTGCCGACAACTGAAGCTTCAGTTAACTTTTACAATTGTCGTGTCCTTCTCCTACCACCACAAAATGGAATACAACTGCTGTCAAGTTTCCATTTCTTTTTTTCAAAACTGAGTTGTTTAATGTTGGGGTTTTCGTCGAAGAAAGTGTCGAAAAGGAATTCATCGATGGCTGCGTTTGTGGCAGTTCATGCAGGCTCTTTCTGCGGACTACAGGAAATGTCTTTCAACATTTCACACTTTTATCCATTCGTATTCCTCCACTGCCGCCACAAAATGAAATACAGCTGCTATCAAGATTCTTCTGTAATTCGAAGCTGGTTTGTTTATTTGGTTTGGATTGAGGAAGACTTCGCCGCGGGATTCAAGTCGAACTTGCAGGCAGCAGAGTACAGGAAATGTTTCGGGCCTCACTTACTCGGTTTCAGAAGCTACATCCAAGGTGAGTGAGCCTAAGTAATTATACAATTTTGCCTCCTTTGAGTTTTATCGTAAAGTCAGGCGTATTTTAGGAAAAAGCTTATTATAAGCTTAAGCATTTAATATATTAAATTCATGATGTGTAGTGAAGAACTGAGGTCGAGAATACCCAGTTCTTGTGATTGCCGGTACATCTTTCATGGAAAAAGTTAGGATAATTAGCGAAAGCCTTCTCTCCAGGCGCGTTTATCTATTTCAAAAGCCAAGCCTCACAAGCGGATTAAAAAACAAACAAACAAATAAAACGAGAACGTCCATTTTTCGAGTTATGGCTGGACTGTTCTTATTTTCTGAGGAGTTTCAGCCTGGAAATGTTCTTACAGATGGGTCTTTCGCCAGAAGAAACAAAAAGTGTAACTTACGTACAGTAAAAGTTACTGAGTATCGGATCTATATTGTGATGTATAATCTAAAGGGTAGTTTACTCGTAAGGCTTTGTCGGTCCGATTTTGCAAAGAAAACTTAAGCTTATAATAAACCGTGACTGTGCACTGGACGTAGCCGAACATTTTCGTGAACGACAAACAACCTATATGAACGATTAAAAATTCACGGGCTTTGAGCTTCTCAAAGGGGCTTAGTTGGGTGGCTGGGGTCCAAACGGCAGGGGTAAAAATTCTTTCCAAGACTAATACTCCGATCGATTTTAATTTATATTTGTCTCCTTAAGTTTTAAAGTCACTTTTCACTTTTAGGTAGTTAAATGTATATAAATGGACGCTTCCCTTTTAGCCTTGGCTAAATCTATATATTAGAGGGAATAACTTATTAAAGTTCGGTGTCTTTGTTTGCGTCATTTGACGTCTTAGCCCCGGGAGATTTGAATTGTGTACAACACTGCGTTAGCCGAAAAGGGTTATACTTCTGGTTTTGAAAAAGTTTAAGCATAACTTACTTTACTTTGATGGAAGACGGCGATTTTCCGCTAATACAATTTGCAGTGGTCAACACCCAATAAGGATCTACTAACGATCCTCCGCAAAACAACTGGCCATAAGTTCCCATCAACATCACCTGCCACGGCCAGCTATTTACTCTTGCAACTGAACCACCAACAATTAGACTACTAGCGCTTGGTCGAGAGCCACAAAATACTATATGCAATAGAAAAAATTGTAAAAAATATCAATTATTACATCAGAAAAGGGCAAAAGCTTTTGTCCGATACCATCGGATAAATCACTGAAAAACCTACAATTATGGACAAAAGTCCTTGGGACAGTAATGCAGTATTTCGAAATTTTCTTACAGTTCTCCCCGCCCCCCTCCGCCAACCTATGTACAAAGTTGAAACTGGGGAAAAATTCTGGATACATGCGTCCAACATCTGTTTGTGGGGTGAGGGGAGGGGATGGGTCTGTGCAGTGAATTGGAAAACACCCCAGAAATGCAAAAGTGTCCCAAGTCTTTTGCTCAAGATTTTAGGTTGTGGCCGGGTATTTTTTAGCAGCCACCTGAGAGTGAGCTATAAGCTCAGGTATGGACGTAAGGCTACAAGCAGGGAATATGAACCTTCGTGGCACTTACATACATATGAAAGTACGTTTTCACGCCGCAGGACGTCCAATCTGGATGCGCCTTCCCTTTTCGTCGAAGGAATCATAATCGTTTAAACCAAACTTCTATTCGAGACGGCGACGTAGGGCCGTGATTAAATTAGAGCCAAGACCTGAATATTAAAAAAAAAATTCCCTGGTTCCTTGAATATATCTCCGTCTGTTTGTCTTGGTCTTCAGCAGGGCGATTTTGTACCACGTGAATGACCAGCTTCGAAGAGCGGATTCAAATTGAACTTCATTTAAAACGCTACCCGTAAAAATATACCCTGGGGATCACTACATTATCATTATTGTTACTAGAGAGCCTAAGCCTGTCCTAAGCAAGAAATATAATGCAGTGCAATTAAGCAAAACGAGAAAAGCTTGTAAATCACGAGCCGAAGGCGAGTAATTTACAAGCTTTTCGAGTGTTCTACCAACATCCCAAGTGGGTTATCACGCCGGTAAACCCATATAAAGTGTGGTCTATTGCTTATTTAAAATAACTTGTGGTAGAACGGAGTGTTTTAGGTAAAAAATGTGGTTTTCATAAGCCAATCTTGACTCACGATCTAGTAGCGCCGAACTTTCTCAAAATTCAGATCAGTCAAACAAAAAACAGCAGCACTTCAAAATACGAGTTTTTGCACTCATTACATGATAACTTATGAAAGCTGTTTTACAGGAAAAGTATATACATATATATGCGAACGTACAATGAAAGAATACGTTCATGGTTTGTTTACTATATACAAGTAGAAAATTGAGCATCAAACAGTACGCAGCTGTACTTTGTGGTTTGAAGAAGGTTATGGCATCGATATTATCGAACGATTCGTGCTAATATTGAAAAAAAAAAACAGCGCGAAACTATGACATCTTTCATCATCGTTTACAGCTTGTTTACAACCTGCAGTGGCCTATTTTGTACCAGAACTTGATCAGATCTCTCTTTGAAACAATTTCTTTAATTCAGTAATTTAACTTTGGCATAAAATATTTCAAAAATGCTAAATCTGTCCGTTTTTTGCTGGTTGGCACTGGTTAAGTTTTCCTAGAGACTTTCTACACCAGAAATTCACACAGTTGTTGTCTTTCTCTGCGATTCGGCGTCGTCGTGAAATGTAAACTGCTTTCCAGCTTTGTACTTTATAACTTTTAAAGGTATGGCATGGCAGAAGTGAATTGTGACGCTCAGTAATAAAACTTGGAAACCAACGCTTTTTAATATTAAGAAGGGCTGTGTAAGTAAATTGTTCTGTTTTTGAGTCTTTCTAAGATCGTTGTTTGCAGATCAATAGCCGGTTTTATGTATGGCTCGTGGTCTGGATGCCTTTTTCTATGGGTTTACCGGTATGATAAACCATAGGTTTTTGACCAATGAGATTGTGCTTACAATCTCAGTTATTTTCCAAAATGTGTTAGTTTACCATCAGTGGTTGAAGCCAGACTTTCACTGGTTTTGTAGGCTTGTCCAGTCTTGTCAATTCCATACACTCCGATTCGGTACCTTGTAGAAGGTCTTAAGCCTGTAATAACTTTAGTTGTCGTACTTCCTGGGACAGTTTCTTCAGCTAGTAAATTTCCTGCGAGACTTTTAATAAGAATCAAATAAAACCTGGCAGTCCGGTCAATGTTCGTGCGAAGGGCAGACCACTGAACGCTAAGACCAAAATGACTGGACATCAAAACAGTCACATTCCATCCTGAAAGCGGTAAAGCTAAAAACAGAAAAGTAATAATAATAATAATAATAATAATAATAATAATAATAATAACGATGATGATGATGATGGTGATGATAGTACCTACCCAGAAAAAACGTATCAAAAGACCTTATTCACGATAGCCGCCATCTTTATTCTAGATAATAGAAAACGAAGTACTTTTAATCTTAAAGACGATAAATGCAGTAGCGGCCGTAGATGTCCTCACAGCAAGCCGTAATGACATACCGTGTAAACCTTGCATGTTTATCAAAAAACCGTTGTCCCGTTTTGACAGAATAAGGAAACTCAACCATAATAACTCGTTTTGGTAAATTTTATCACTTGTTTGCCCCCACGTGACATTCCCTATATTCCATCGATCCTAAAGCGCGTGCAAAGATGGCTGATATCTTGCCGAAGGTCTATTTTACCTAGATGGCGGGGAACGGATTGAAACCAGGACTAATACAGAAACAGTAAAATAAGCATCGACTAAAACGTACCTGAAAATATGCCGTTCTTCAAAACAGCAAACTGGATTTTCACCCTGCTTCGATTACTTCCAAAAGCCATTTGAATTGAGATGTTACCGTACGAGCCAAACTGTACATCCAACCAAGTTTCTGTATTGAAAGGCCTACAACCGTCTTGATTGAGAACCTCGGTACCTTCTCCATCAATAATCTTCACATACTCACTGTGTAACAAAAATATATACTACTTATTAACCGAAAAAAGGTCATTACAGGGAAATATCAGACCGAGGTCTTGATGTATTAAGTTATTTGTTATATAGCTTTTCCTTAGGGACTGAGTCAGTGATCAATCAAGACTAACAACTGATCAGCGGATAACTTTAAAAAAAACACGTCACGTCAATGAGTTGTACACTCGAATTGTTGCCAGCAAAACAGTCAGATGACATTTATCAGCGGATACCCTTTTTGACAGCTGTCAATTGACCATAACATGGATGTCCATAAGGATGTCCACCATCAAGTTAACACAGATTGTATATGTCTTGGACTCCTAGCTAGTGATGCCCAGGGAATACAAATTTGTCATAATATTAGGCTTTTTTTTTTTTAATCAAACCACAAGAATTTTCGACATTTTAGTTGCCAGCAGAGTGAAAAAAAGCCTTTGAAGCGCGCGCGTGATAACGCGTATTTTCCTATTACACTGTCCTATTAGGGCTGAAATCAGGGATAGATAGTTATAGTCAATCAGATTTCAGAATTTTGTTTTAGTTGTGATTATAATAATAAAAATAATAGCAGTGATAATTATAACACTCATCATCATCAGTGATCACAGAAGAGTTAATCAAAGACAACGTTGCTGGGAATAACACATATTCTTAACTGAAGGTCATATCCATCAAGTGCTTGAATTAGTATTTTGACATACAGTACTGGTAAAACAAAAATGTCTTGAATTTATACTTCTATTAATATTACTTTTCTTTACCAGTAAGGTTATCTCATGTTTTTTTTAAATTCACAAAGATAACAAAGAACTGCCTCTTCTTTCCATTCATTTCATTTCTTAAGAATTTATTACATTACTCAGTTTACCCGCAATAGGGGAGATATAATTCTCGTACAGATACCAAAGCTACAGCCTGGGATATACCGGTACTTAGTATGGTCCACTGACATGTTTCATCGTAGCTGCTTGTACTATTAACCTCAATATTACCATACGTAATATTTATTGTCCTGGAGCAACCTAGAGAGGACGATTTCAAGAAAGACCTTCAATGATGATCATGTAATGTGAATATTACTTTAGGAAAACAAAATAGATTATATGATAGAGATTTACATCCTCCTAAATTAAAAGGGTTATAAAAGTTTTAAGAAGGGCTTCTGACAAGATGCGCTGGTGCAAGAAAGGGCAATGCCAAAAATAGGCAACTTGCACTAAGAGGTCACGTGACCGTGAGTTGGAATTCAACTGATGCCAAAAATTAAGAGAGCACATAAGAATTATTCTACACACGAAATTTGAAAGGAAACGCGTTTAAGGGAGATATTTTATGGCACTTTGATTTTTCAACAAAGTAGTATGATTTGTATTGGCTGCCATGTTGGAGGGCATACTCTTGCCCTCAACATGGCGGCCAAAACTACATGTACTTTTTGCTCATATCTTGTTAAACGTTTGATAGTTACGCTCAGATGTGCTACAAATGGTTACCACGTCATCTTTTCAACATTTTCCTTGAAGTTTAAGTGCAAAATTGTGTTCAGAAAGAGGTAATTCATAATTTTAAAAATCACATTTTGATCACGTGACCAGCTACAAACGTACTCATTTTAATAAAATGGTGCAGGTTGGAAAAACCAAATCACTATTATTTTGTTTAAGATATGACCCACTAATCGTTTTTCGGAGGAAAAATCATGTAAGTTTCATTTTCATAAAAAGATTTCACATGACCCCTTAAGGCAAATGGCCTATTCAGCACAACTCAGCAAAGTAATCAGTGGAACGAATAGAGTTTCTGCAAATTCGTGTTTTGCTCTTGTAAACTGAGAATTTTAGAACCTTTTTGGCAGTAATAGCCGAGATGTCAGCCGTCTCCACTCTGTAACCTATGGGAGGGAGGGGGGGGGGCTCACCGGTTAAGGGGTGGAAATGGCTGACATTTCAAACTATTAAGGCACTATACAGACAATTTTCTGTTCAAACATAACATTGTTTATTACAATNCCCCCCCCCCCCCCCCCCCCCCCCCCTCGGAGCGGACGTTTCCTTTTGACCCCCACCTCTGTGAAATTTCTATTACAGAGGTGCTTGTCATACCCCCTCCAACAACCCCTTGGGTTCCTCTATTTTCATGCGGTATTTTTATCGATTTAAAAAAAGGCTTCTGATACTGTTGATCATGTTATTCTTTTAAGTAAGCTAGATCACTATGGTTTCCGCGGACTTATAAATAATTGGTTTTCTTCTTACTTACAAGGCCGAAGTCAAACCACTCAAATTTGTCCGCATATTGCTGATAGGTTACAAACCACATGTGGAGTGCCATAAGGTTTCATTTTAGGTCCATTGCTTTTTTGATATACATAAACGATATACAATAAGAATCATCAGACAAGCTTAGCTTTTTCCTTTTTGCTGACGATACCAACATACTTTATACTTTTATCACCCATACCCTTTTATAAATTTATCGAGCTCTTATAGCTCCCTATCTAACATATGGTTTGACAGCCTGGAGTCAGGCTTGCAAGTAGGGACTTTAAGAAAGGTCACTACGGTCGCCTGGGACGGTTGGATAGATGTCACGTCACGCAAAACTTTTTCGTGACCTTTTATCGTCGTCCTTCTGGGAAGGTATGTTTTCGCCGGGTTTTTCGTCGTGAAGACAACGGTGAAACCGATAAGAGTTCATGCATACTTATTGCCACTTTTCTTCTAAAACTGAGTAACCAATGGGTTAAATATGCGTTGGGTTGTGTTTACATTGATTTACCTATCGGTGAAATGAAAAACAAAACAAAACAAAAAAAAGGGAAAATGTCTGAGTTCATTCATAACTTAGCTCGCGGCCGTATGGCGACTGATTGTTTTCTACCTAGTGTCGTCCGCTATGGCAGAGGAAAATTGCCGAAAAGAAAGGTAAGGCCCAGTTCAAACGTCCATCTTTTCAAGTACCGAACTTAATACCTATTTAGGTCGACCCAAGTGATATAAGTTCGAGGTTGATTCACTTTCACGATGTTCGTGAGTACGTTCAATGGTCTAGCATGCTTTAAACAAGTGAAAATAATTTTTAGTACTTTGTGCAGTTCGACGTTTGAACTGGGCCTAACAATGCTGATTGCAGCCGTCTTTTTTTAAACTTAAAACTGTATTTTTATCAAGAAAAGATTTCTTTAACTCCAAAGGTGTTGGCTTATGAAAGGAAAGTTAAAATAAAACATCGACTAGTTTTGAAAACTAAGCTAGCTTTAATTTGTACTCTTATTCTTCTGACAGGTATTCTTCGTATAAAATAAGAAACTCTTTTTCAGTAATTGAGCCTTCGCTTTCATGGCTAGGCACCAGTTTTTTCCCGCGTGTCCGCCATTTTTTAATACGGTGTATCAAACACTTTTAAGGATTACACTCGATTACACATAATAAAAGCATTGAATGAAGAATTAAATTTATAAATTCTTTATTATGTTGTTTAAAGAATGCCAGCTCGCACTGCAAATGTGGTGCTTGTCAAAAGTATAAGAACCGAATTTTTCAACGTTTTCGCTGAGAGCTCATCTTACTGAACAGTCCCGACATTGTGGAATTCTCTTCATGCAAACGTTTTATACTGATGTGGTCAATTCTGTGATTTGTTTTGCAAAGGATATATGAAGCGCGTGCTTCGATTTCCTGATTATCAAATGAGTACAATTTGTCCTGCAAAATTGAAAAACCGCGTTCCGTTCGAGGTATGTAAGCTTTTTATAAAAACACCGCCTGTATAAAAAAGTATAAATTGCTGGCTTACACGTCACCAGATTTGTTGTTAGCAAGATTTTGTAAAGTAAACTTGTCGAACACCAAAAATTCGGCTTGATTTTTTATTTTGGCCTCCGTTTTAGACAGAGGAATACAACCTATATAAATTACAAATGTGTAAATTGGCTAATCTTCTGTGATCAAGAGGCATTACATATATATAGCTCTTGACTCATCGAAACTTGTACATTTTTCTCAGAAGTAAAAGTGTATGTATGTATCAATAAAACTATTGCGTAAGCCGTGAATAAAGCATTCAGCCAACAGTAGATAAAAGATGATCAATGCAAACAAAATTACTTATTTTGAAACACCGGTTAATAGTAAAATAAGTGATAGCTTGCTCAACAGAGAAGCAGCTGTTGTTTATTAATAAGAATCTTACTCTTACTCCCTAGGAAAAACCTCCAAAAAACATGGAATTTGAATTTCCATTGCCCTAAGTGGGGGTGGAGTATGGATATTTTCTGGAACTACAACATTATTATATTATTTACTGTAATATAAATTTATATTTTTATTTACTGGGATTTATTCATTTACCGAGAATGTTGGCAAGAGGCTAAAAATTTAATATTATAGCTTTGCCTTACTGGCATCTTGTAAAAACAGAAACCCAAAACAAGGAGTGAGCAAATTCCACACTAGGCCTATGTCACAGCGTTTTCACACAGGCTGGTTTATTTTTAGATACACTAATTATTAGCATTTTTCCCAAGAAAAAGGAAGCTGCGTTTCGTTCATGAGCAGATTATTACTGTGTCTATAGGATGTGAAAACTGAATGTCATATAAACGGTGAAAATGCCATTTTTAGGGGTTTTCGTTTTGCTGTTTTTCTTAGTTCAATTTTAGTCAGTGAAAACGCTGTAATAAATGACATGGACGTTGCTCACTACGGGAATGTAGGCTCCTGATAGAAAGCATACTCGCTCTTACCTCCGTTACATACCACAGAGGCATCGCTATAGTGACCACAATTATGAATGCCCCACCCTTTCTGCCTACAATAGACAATTGACGGTTCGTTGCCTTGACATTTTACGTCATCCAGCCAAATTTGACCACTTCCAGCCCCAAACCGGGCATATTTTGGAGCAGCAATAGCACCAGGATATCCAAGCTGATTACAAACAACATGTGCGTCATTTATACCCCACCAATCATCACAAACTGTTCCCCAGGTGTTATTATGAAATACTTCAACTCTTCCTTCGGAGGTCCTAGACCCTCCAACCAGTCTCAAAGCTGAAATAATTTTCAAGAAAATGTTCCCTTATACCTTTTGACTCTCATACTACCTTAAAGCAATCTATAAACATGCTTGGATTAATGCTGTCACTGATTTGGGTTTGAATCAATTAATTCAAACCCAAATCAGTGACAGCATTATTCCAACTGCAACATTAAACAATAGTAATTTGATGCTGCAATGGTAGTTGACAATAAATTTGCAGATGCCTTAATGGTTTCTGGTGCTTATTGGATACTTAGCCTTTTCATGTGACAATAACAATAAGGGCAAGGATTTAAATACATACATAAATTACATTTTATTGCACGCATTGCTTTGTAAATATAACTTACGCAACTCTCTGAATTCATTTGGCACTGGCACATATGTTGTATTAAAGGGTAAGTCTCATGAACTGCACATATGCGAGCCGAAGCACAACAATAAAAAAATCTGCAGAATTTTTCAAGATTGTTCTGGCAAAAACAGGATGGCGGCTACAATTGGTAGAGCCAGCCATGGTGGTTAAAAGATACAATTCGGGTCGCAAAAGGACAATTTCTGATGTATAGAACAGTATAGAAGAGATTGGTTTAAGAGGCACAAACGTGTTTTTCTAGAAGATAAGATATTCCAGTCGTGGCAAGGTGTGAAATTGGAGACAGGACTGATGAAGGTTCCAGCGACAGGGATTTTGTTGCACATTTTTGTGTATTTTTGAATGTTGTCAGTCTAAAATCGGCAGAAAAATAAGGATATATATTCAGCCTGGACCGAAAAAAAAAATTCTTATATAAATAGAGTATATCCGTGAAATTTAACGAGCTGGGCCCAGCCTGACAAACATTGCAAGAAACCAGGGGGAAACTATCACAGTCACAAAGTAAAACCCTTTTTTGCCGCAATAGAGAGATTTAAGTTTTAAAAGAGGTTAAAGAAATGCTCTTGCATCAGATGGCAAATCCTGCTGACCATAAACAAAAACCAGGGGGGGGAATCAATATGCGTGTCATGACCTCTCAGTGTCAAACAAGCGGTAAAAATCACATGGTCTGGGCAGTCAAAACTACCCGCAAGAGAAAGAAGAATTAATGGAACAAGCAGCATTTTGGAAGGAAGTAAAGGTCTTGTGTAGCCGATTCCCTCTTCTCTCTCTCTCTCCCTCCTCATAGCCAGAATTTAATTTCACGCACGCGCGGTAGCAGTGGAAACTTAGACAAAATTCCAAGAAGTAAACAATGGAAATTTTACAAAGAAATGTGGGATAACTAAAATAATTTGCGATACAGCATGTTGTGCGATTAACCTGAAACCAGGAACCGCATGAGACTCAAAGAATGACGTACTTAGATCTTAGTTTTGACAAACTTAAACTCTTACCTGTATCTTCAAATCTCGCGCTTATCCCAGAATGGAAATAAAAATACGAAAAAATTACCTGTGTCTTCCATATCAATCCTTTGCAAATGGAGCTTTGCCACCTTGATTAACCTCTTTTCTTCGGTAATTAATGACAATTCCGTTGGGAAACTCTCAGAGGTCCCGCTTAAAACTTCAAGTACAAAGTCTTATCTTTCTCTCGTGAGTTTTTGTCCACTGAAAAAGCATATTCTCCATTCTCACGTTTGAACAATTTGGAGTTAATTCTATTTGTAAAAGCGCTTCTACTCCACGACTTAAATCAAAGACCATCGCTCTGCAATATCTCGGTCAAATGTCATCTAAATTGGCTCCAAAAACCTTTCGCTCGAAAGCTTGTTTCTCAGAATTTTTTCCACCATCTTTGGTTTTAGCAGTATTTTTGATCAGCGGCTTTTACTTGACGATTTGACCACTCAAACTTTCCGAACAGCATGAGCCCGGGAATCACATTAAAAACCAGCGGTTAAAACCATTGCGAAACAGCATGAACGTAAGTCGCACGAAGTTTGATGCACTCCACTTTCCGAACGTCTCGAACAGTCATTTGTTGGCAGCGATTTCCCATGCATGCGCAGCTCGTGAGACTACCATGACTAACCTTTTAATATATACCTGTTATGAATTCTAAAACCTGTGTGTTGATAAACACGTTACAAAATGAAAAGTTTAAATTAACAGCCAGTCTGTAAGATTTTCCCGTCGATTTTGTTCAAGAAGAAGAAGAAGAATATATTATTCATTTTTTTTGAAAGTGTCCATGAAAACATTGTGTGCGAAATTTACCTCGGGCACAAAAACCACTTAATATTGATCTTTCAGAGACCGGATCTTGACAAAAATGGAATTTTTAGTAAGGAGTAATTTTACAAAATTAAGCAGTACCCGCGTTGCTGTTAGCTAGGCCCAATTTTAAAAAAGGATTAAAAAATGGATCTAACAAGATATTTTCGATTCCTTTTTCAGGGACCCGTTTGAAGCTCAATAAGTGAACAAAGTGGGTCCAAAACCCATAGTTTCATTGGGTTTTCAAGCAAAAATAATCATAATGATAACACAAGTAAAATCTAGCAGATACTTACTGCGTTGAGCGTTGGCCAGTTGAAGCAAAGAAAATACTAAAACTGAAACAAATAAGCAAAGTAACTGGTAAAAAAACATTGTGAATTGTGACACTTGATAATTACTGTTTATCTCAGTCTTAACCACATCACCGCTTCGATCCGAATAATTATGATGTTCAAGGATTTTTTTCTTTTTTTTTTGATCCGAATAACACTATTTGGGAAACTTTTTAAAAATAACTTCTGTCCAATATTACTGAAATTCACGCTGAAAAAAAGTTCCTAGAGGTCTTAATATTGCACGATCACACGCAGAAGTAATTTAGCTGCAGGCTGATCAATAGTTAATGAATAAAAGAGCTGTTGATATATATATAAAAAAAAACTAAATCGCACTGTATTATAAAAAGAATGAATGAAGTTAATCGAAACTGTACTTCCTTTTAATTACATCATGATAGTCAATTTGTTCTATAAAAACTATTTTAGAAAGTTTAATTGTAAGCAAGCTCTTAGGTCAAGGGCCACAGTCTAAGAAGATCTTTCAAGACAGAACAAGAGACCCTTGAAATGAATTTGTAATCAACTAAAATGCGTCAAACTTAAGTTGCGAAAGTTTAACCAGCCATCAATAATATCGGCATGTCTATCTTTCACAATTCACATATTTGCACGCAAACGTATTGCAGCTCGGAATAACGCAAAAAATATATTGCCTTGCTTTATTTTTTGCTTTAGTTTTTACATCGCACACAACATGTGCGTGCAGCAATTATAGTATAGTAAAGGCCACTCCAGGAGTCATCCTCATCCCAGGGGTGGATCAAGGGGGAGGGTGCAGGGGGTGCGCACCCCCCCCCCCCCCCCCCCCCCCCC